TGATATTGTTAATGATATATTACGTAACCGCCAACCTAAGGATAAAAAAAATCAAGACTTAATAGTACAGAGTTTAAAAAAAATAAACACTCCTATGGAATTTATTCAAAGTAAAGCATATCTAGATAATTTTATAAACTATACTACGCCCAATCGCGAATCTTCGATAAGCGTGTCTAATGAGACTATAAGTTCAAATAACCGGCAGAAAAAATCTAGTGAATCATCAAAATCGAAACAAGGATATTCGTCTGACAAAAACACGGCAGTTCCTACAAGAAGAAAGAAAAAAACAAGTTTACCAGCGACCAGGCTAGATTGGGAGAAGTGGTAAACGATGAATGACATTTATTACAACCCTACACATATAGCATCATTCTCATCTGTTAAGAAAATTAAAAAAGCAAAACCAGACATTAGTGTTAGTGAAATTAAAAAATGGTTACAAAGCCAAGATACTTATACCTTACATAAACCTGTTGTTAAAAATTTTAAACGAAATAAATATCATGTAACAAATATTGATGATTTATTTGAGGCTGACTTAATTGATTTAAAAAGCTTAAGTAAATTTAATAATAATATTAAATATATACTAACAGTTATTGATGTATTTAGTAAATATGCATGGGTTAGAAAGTTAAAAACAAAATGTTCAAAGGATGTTGCAATGGCCTTTGAAGATATATTTAAAAGTTCCAATAGAATTCCTATTAATTTGCAATCAGATAAAGGTGGTGAATTTTTAGGACCTGACACAAAAAGGTGTTTTAAAAAGTATGGTATAAATCATATACAAACTGAAAATCCTGATATAAAAGCTAGTGTTGTAGAAAGATTTAACAGAACACTTAAAGAAAAAATGTTTAAGTATTTTACATATAATAATAGCTATGAATACGTTAATGTAATAGACACTTTAGTCGATACTTACAATAAAACAAAGCATAGCACGATTAAAATGGCACCGACTGAAGTCAACGAAAATAATATATTAGAAGTATACAATAATGCTTTTCGAACAACACTTAAAAACGTAAATAAAAATAAATTTAAACTAAATGATTTTGTTAGAATTTCCAAATATAAACATATTTTTGAAAAAGGTTATGAAGCTAATTGGACTATTGAAATATTTAAAATAGTTAAAATTATAAAAAGGCATCCACATACTGTATATAAACTATGTGATTTACAAAATGAAGATGTAGAAGGAATTTTTTATGAATCAGAATTGCAAAAGGTGACATATTCAGAAGATTCAGCTTTTAAAATAGATAAAATATTAGGAAAGCGGATAAAACGTGGCATACGCGAAGTGTACGTTAGGTGGAAAGGTTATCCAAAAAAATTTGACTCGTGGGTACAACAAAAAAATATTACTTTACCATAAAAAATGCCAAACGAATTTTTTCTGACTCTGCTTAGTAATAGTTCTATAGAATATTTCCCCAACAATAAAACAACACAGTTTAATACTCAACTTCCTAATTCTATTCATCTTGAGGGAGAATGGCAAGTTGGTCTAACAGAGTTTCAATATCCATGTTCTCTTCTCACGGTGAGAAAAACCCAAAATATTGTATACTTTAAAGAACTAAAGAATGCAAAAACAAATACATATGTATATGACAAAGTAAGAATAAATACAGGTAGTTACGATAACATAGATGACCTGCTTGCAGTATTAAATTCTAATACTCAAATAATAGGAAGAAAAATAACTTTTAAGATGGATCAAACAACTCATAAAGTATATGTAAATATTCCTGAGGACAGCAATATAATATCTATGACTTTTTCAACTTACATGGCTTTACAATTAGGCTTTGAACCGGATCAAAATATACTAAACAATTGCTATGCTCAACATCCATCCAATATTATTTTGGGGTTGCCCTCGCAATTTTTCATTTATTGCGATATTATAACTCCTCAGATTGTAGGGGATACTATGGCTAAATTAATTCGTAACGTAAGCGTGGATAATTCAAAATATGTTTATGGGAGTCATAAAATGAAAGTATTTTCACCGACGCACTATGTTCCTGTTTTAAAACGTGAATTTGAGAATATAGAAATTGATATAAGGACCGAAACCGGTGAATTAGTGCCATTCTTATTTGGGACTGTCAGTGTTAAACTACACTTTAAAAGAATAAAATGACCGTAAAGTGTCTGTATAGCGATTATTATTTAAATCAAGCTGGTTCGGGTGTAGGAGCAGTGTATAAAGGTGCCTATTACCAAAAGGGGCGGGGCATTGGTAGTTTTTTAAAAGGGTTATATAGAACTATATTTCCTCTAGTTAAAAGTGGAATAAAAACAATAGGAACAGAGGCTGCTCATACTGGTGTTAATTTTCTCAAGGATATTATTCATAGTAAACCACCCAAAGCTGCGTTTAAAGAACGGTTTAATGAAGGTACAAAAAATTTACAAGCTAAAGCCATGAAAAAAGTGGACGAAATGGTGGGGTCAGGGAAGCGTATAAAAAGAAAGAAAGCTATTAAAAGAAAGCATAAAGTATTAGCTATTGAAAGTAAGAACACGCGCAAGACTAAAAAACGAAAACTTGAAGATATTTTTGGTTAAATAAAAACTAAAAACAATGTCTTTCATCCATAATCAATCGTGTGAGTGTATTAAAAGTGAACTGGACTTATTTGCCATACCTTCAACGCAAACTAGTGTAGAGTCAGGGCAATGGATTCATTATAAACCTCTTTCATCTTTGACGGATCAAGCACCTCTGGAGTTTGTTATACCTGGTATAGGTGATGAATATTTGGATTTATCCCATACTTTGTTGCATATAGAAGCAAAAATATGTAAACAAGATAATTCAAATTACACAAACGCAACAGAGGGTGAAAAAATGATCGGCCCGGTAAATAATCTCCTGCATTCAATGTTTAGTCAAGTTGATGTTTATTTAAATCAAAAATTAATTTCTCCACCAAACAACACATATGCATATAGATCATATATAGAAACATTACTTAATTACGGTCCGGAGGCATCAAATTCCCATCTCACTTCAAGTCTATGGTATTTAGATACAGCTAAATCAATGGAAGAAATAAATGCAAGTAATACAGGACATACAAAAAGGTGCGAGTTAACAGAATTAGGAAAAAACGTAGATTTAATTGGACGTCTTAGTGGCGATATATTTAATCAAGAAAAGTTTTTAATGAATGGTCTTGAACTTCGTGTGAAATTAGTTAGATCAAGAGATAATTTTGTTTTAATGGCTCCTGCTAATGAAGAACCAAAACTAAAAATTATGGACGCTACCCTTTTAGTAAGAAGAATGAAAATTAATCCTTCTGTATTGTTAGCACATGCTAAAGCCTTACAACTAGCACCTGTTAAATACCCCATAACGAGGGTTGATGTTAAAGTTTTAACTATACCAGCCGGCATTCAAGGAAAATCATTGGATAATATATTTTTGGGTCAGTTACCGAAAAGGTGTGTTATGGGCTTTGTATCAAATAGAGCATTCAACGGAGATTATACGAAAAACCCGTTTAATTTTAAACACTACGATATCAACTTTTTATCACTGTATATTGATGGTCAGCAAATTCCTTCTAAACCGCTTCAACCCGATTTTGATAATGATAATTATATAAGGTCATATAATACTTTATTTTCTGGGACTGGAATACACTTTTCAAACAATGGGCTTTGTATTGATAGAATTAACTACAAGCACGGTTACTGCTTAACAGCGTTTGATTTAACTCCCGATTTATCGGCAAACACAATGACTCACTGGAATCTTATTCGAAATGGCAGTCTACGCGTGGAAGTACGTTTTAAAGAGGCACTTACAGAGACTGTTAATTGTATTATTTACGCCGAATTCGATAATATTATTGAAATAGATAAGAATAGAAATGTAGTGGTTGATTACAGTAGCTAGATATATCCTATCTATTAATTATCCTTATATTATAAAAAAGATCCTAAATAAATTTACTTTAAAAATTATTTTAATTTTCTTTAAAAGCACCTGTACCTAAAATATTGTATGCATAACTGTATAAACTTTCAAAGCACAAACGTTAAAATTGTGGAATGTATTCATCCGAAGTAATAAGATATTTACGCAGATTTTTACCAAAACACGTTCATACTGGAGTTTTCCCCGTTAATCAAATACCCCGTTATATTAGTAAGCCTTTGGCTATAGTAATTAATGAAGATCCTGATTATATGCCTGGAAGCCATTGGTGTGCTGTTTTTATCAATAATAAAGGCGATGGATGCTATTTTGACAGTTTTGGAAGACCTCCTAAATATAATGTAAAAAAGTTTTTAAATAAAAATTCCAAAAAATGGATATACAACTTTAATGTAATACAAAATTTGTTTTCTACCGTGTGTGGTCAATACTGCATTTTGTTTTTAGTGTGTTTAAGTAAGAAATATACTTTAAATAATTTTTTAAATATGTTTTCATCTAATACATATAAAAATGATGCAACTGTAAGAAAAATGTTTCGTAAATTAAATAAAAATCAAATATCTTAAATATTTTTTTATTATTTTTTCCTAAATATAAGTAAAACAGGTCAGTAAAATATATATATAAAATAAAAATAATAATAACATAACAAAATTTAATTCTAATATAAGTAAAGCATAGGTAAGTAAAATATATGTAAAATATAAATAATAATAACATAACAAAATTTAATTCTAATATAAGTAAAATATATATAAACTAAATTAAAATATAAATATTAATATAATTACATATTAAATTGTAAACTAATATATAAATAAATCAAAAAGTAAAATTAATTAAAAAATATAAAAAATAACATAACAAATTATAGTATAAGTAAAGCATAGATAAGTAAAATATATATAAAATAAATTAAAATATACATAATAATAACAAATTTTCAGTATAAGTACATGAATGGTAAATATATATATATATATATATAAATAAATAAATATAAAATAAATTAAAATATAAATTATAACGTCCATCCGTCCATAAAATAAGGAATATCTTCTTCTGCATTAACTTGTAGGTCCATCTAAAAATGAATAAATTTTAAATTAAAATATTAAAAATAATGATTACATGGCATATTCTAACCTAAATAAATGCGCTTTTTTTATTAATATTATTATACCTCTCTATCGCCATCATCAATGGTATGATTATAGTCAGATTGTTCTTCTTCTAGGAAGCCATACGGAACGGTATCGTAATTATCTATCCTCCGCCGTTTTGTATAGCCAATCCTATAAATTTTCGACTCTGATCGCGATATTACGTCATAATCAGCCGTAATACAGATTTTACGGGTGTTGTGGACATATGTAGGATCAGCATTATCACACACCATGGCTTTTAATGTCTCAAAATTCACCGATTCACTATTTTTTGAGTTAAGAGTAATTCCCTTTACTTTGCATATAGACTTATATTCTTTTTTATCCGCGATATAAACTCTATAAGCGTAATTTTTGGGCCCACCGCTAACAAACTCCGTAATTTTACTACCAGGGCCGTATTCAGCTACTTCGTCTGTTAACATACCTAAATAGTCGCCTACGTCGGGCATCCACTCACCCTCTTTATGCGTGAATATAATACTATCTGTATCAAAGTAAAGTACTCGTCTATCAAGTTTTTCTAGATATGAGTAAAGCTCCAAGCGCGCCATAGCCGTGGTGTATGCTGCTATTGCTACATTAACAGTTGATAATGGTGAAACGGCTTCTTCCTGCTTAGTCCAGCACATAAGAAGCATTTCATCACTAACAATTATCATATTATTAACAATAACAGAAGGGTCTGTTAACATGTCAAATAGTTCATGGGGTTCAGTGATTACTGATGTTTGCATCAAGTTCTCTCGCTGCCCGAATTTACCCCAAAAACTATTTAACATTAATTTTGCAATAAAACGCATGCCCGGATTATAACATATTTTTTCTTTATCTAGTTTAATGCCCTCATGGTCAAAATATGCTTGAATATAAGCGTCTTTCAATTCCTCCGTAGTGCACCAGTTAGGCCAGCCACTACACTCTTGCTTAATTTTTAAAAATGTATCGACATATTTTGAGAAAAGGCCCCCAGACTTAGTTTTGCGGTCGAATTTAGTGACTTTATATTCCCATACCTCGTAAATTTCCAGTATTTTATAATTTAATGAAATCGCTTTTCTTAATTCATCGGCAACGAAAGTACCAGTAAACTTACGCTCCTCTTCTGTATGCAGACATTTTCCCTGGTACAATGACTCTACACAAGCTCTACATAAGGGGAACATAAGTTTATTGTTACATTTATACGGTAGTACAGGATGATATAAAGATCGAGGAGGAAGAACTGAGCAGTTAATAATACCTTCTACCGTATCCAGAGGTAATTTTCTGCATTTTTCGTCACCGATATGAATTTCAGGACGACCAATGGGATATTTTTTGTACTTATTTATATAAGGATATAAGGAACAAACATCGTAGTAGCAGATTTTTTCATCACCTGTGTTTGATATTTTATGGTGAAGTTTCACGGCATTTGTGCGACCACCGAAGAAGCTATCCCGAGGATTTAATGGCGGCTGGAGGTATTTTATATAGTTATTATTAACATGCGTTCTAATGCCTTCATCAGTTTTCAACATTTTTAGAAATTCACACTCCCAAATATTTACCAAATTATACCCAGCTTTTTTAATTCTTTCGTGCTTGGCTTTGGTTGCCTCGAGTCTTAAAAACATTTGCTGATTTTTGGGTGTGGAATTTTTAAAAGAGGTTGTCTGCTGAGGAAAACATTTTTCACAACCATGAAAATAGCAGCCATCAAACTCGAATACCGTGTTAGTAGTCGCACAAAAACCATCAACTAACAGATCCTCTTTAAGTCGGATTTCCTGACTATTACCCGCGTGTTTAATACCCGGAAATAAAGATTCTTGCAGGTACAACCACTTAAGCGATATTTGCGAAGATTTATCTTTCAGCCTATATCCATTAGTCGGAATAATGCCTATGGTATTAGGCTGTAGAAAGTTTCTCCTAAATACCTTATTGCATACGCTGGCTATGGTGGTTGCTTCTTGAAAAGGATCAATATTTGTAGCTTCAATAAAACATTCTCGAAATTTAATACACGATTTCCGTAAAATATCAACATCTAGAATACAATATTTAATTAATTCGTTTTTAAAATTAAACACTACATTATTTGATTTTTGCTCATTATACCATTCAAAAAAATTATCTCGCGCCTCTAAGGTCATTGATTCTGGCATATAAAAAGAAGCATCGGGTAAGGGGCCTACATAATTACTATTCTCCGTTCTATTAAATAAGTGCGGAAAGTATCCCTTGGCTTCATCAAATTTAAATGCACTTGGAAGTTTATTTAATGGCAGGGGCATATAATTCAGGCTATCAATAAATTTAATTTTATTGCATGTAATCGAAACAAATTTGCAGCCATTTCTTATGATTTTCGGGTTCCATCTGTTAACATGTTTGAAAATTTGTTTCGTTATGAAACAACCATCGTAACCTTTCATGTTATGTGCCAAAGCAAAAACATTAAATTTTTTCTTTTCGAATTCGTGTAGATAATTCAAAAGTGACTCAACAGGGTCTTCTGAAAAAATATGTTTTCGCTTACCACATTTGCTACAATCCAGGTCTATATTTTCATTCGATATACACTCGGAGCATACTTGTTGAACCACACACAAGTTTGGTTCATGTAAAAATATATTACTGGATACTTCCTTTTCTTGCATACATTCAAAGTCATAAAAGGCAAACAAAAAATCGTTGTCAAGCGATTTTTTAGTTTTATCACTTATAACATTTGGTTGCATGTAACAATCGTGCCTAATAGGTTTAAAGCATAAACACGTACGGCAATATTTGTCGCCGCATTTATGCTTATTCTTAGTCCAGTAACTATTTAAACATTTTAAACATCTATGCAGTTTTGAACAAAGTTTCTCCTTATGTATATTTAAACACGCAATACCTCTAAATGTCCGCTTACAATCTTCACACGTTATCTCTTCTACATCAGACCTACAGGGCGGAGAACTATGACAATGTGGACATGTATAAGGACATTTAAAGTGACCTGTTTTATTACTATAACGTTTTTTGCACCCTTCGCAAAAGTATCCAGTGCTGAAGGCACTAGTTAGGCTTAAAATCAGATTATAATGGTTATTTTCTAAAATTAAATTTATTGTTTTACGCGTGTCTTTGGGCTCTCCCTTAAAATATGTTTCACTACCCCTTCTATTATTGTACACAACAATCGTAAAATCTTCTTTTAAAAAATCTTGAAAACGTTTAACGTCTTCAAGACTCCCTCCATTTGAGAGATCCACGTTAGCAGCCCTAGATAATTCTCTACCGCGTTGTTTTAAAAGATTAGGTTTTGATTTAAGATTTTTAAAATCAGTAATATCGCTACGATAAGCTATACCCAACGCTAGAGCATAAGCTAAACAATAATTATCATCATTATTAATAATTACGATACCGTGTTTTTTCCTGCAGAACTCGTCGAATGTTGCTCCTTTCAAAGAAACTCTTCCACGCCCTGCGGGGATCTGTACCCTGTCGATGGACAAAGTTAGTTCATTATTGGTGAAAAAACTGGAATTGCTTTGCAGCACAATCCCCAGGGTATCGAGAATGACAGTAGACGTCAGCTGGCTTCTTTTCCTCAAAGAAATTGCTAAAGGCCTATCCGGAAACTCTGCGTTGTGAAAAACCATTCCAACTCTATCATTCTCGTCAAATCCCCGCATTCCATGTGTAATTAAAGATTCAATCCCTGCCTAAAAAAATCAAAAATATGTTAATATAAATTTGTAACAAAAAAAATATATAAATAATGAAATTATACACCGTGTCCGTAGCTGAGTGCTGACACCCTGTATATATATACATATATATTTTTTTTTACCCGATCACCCTGTATATTTTACATATTAGAAACTAAAATTATATTTAAAATAAAAATTAGAATTGCATTAATACTAAAAGCATATATGCAGATATAAAGTTATAGTTCTATGTAGTAGAATTTTTTATTTTAAAAATGAATAATTATAAAGATAATTATGAAAATGTACTTTATAAACAATTAACTGAAAATTGAATAAACCCTATATATATACAGTATGTCTCAGTATCTTGGAATCATAAGGAAAACTTTTTTATTATTAATTTTAGGAAAAAAAGATATTCTTTATAAAAAGTTCTGCATGGTGTACAACTTAAAATGCAACCCACAAATATTAAATTTTTTTAGTCGTATACAGGGTATGTCATAAAATATGAATTTGACTCAAGAGTAAAGTACCTTTATATTTGACAATATCGAAAATTGTTATAAAGAAAAGTTAATCAGAACTAAAAACTACGTTCAAATATGCAATTTCATCCATTTACATTAAAAATTAGGTTTTGTTAATTTTTACTTCTTTTTATTTTAAATAAACATTTATGTGTTATGATTACAAAAAACAAAAAAAACCTTTTCGTTTCTAAATGTTTTCTAAAAATTTTGCAATTTTAACAGATAAATGTTCATTTAAAATAAAAAGAAGTAAAAATTAACAAAACCTAATTTTTTTAATGTAAATGGATGAAATTGCATATTTGAACGTAGTTTTTAGTTCTGATTAACTTTTCTTTATAACTTTTCTTTATAACAATTTTCGATATTGTCAAATATAAAGGTACTTTACTCTTGAGCCAAATTAATATTTTATGACATACCCCCGTATACGACTAAAACAATTTAATATTTGTGGGTTGCATTTTAAGTTTTACACCATGCAGAACTTTTTATAAAGAATAACTTTTTTCCTAAAATTAATAATAAAAAAGTTTTCCATATGATTCCAAGATACTGAGACATACTGTATATATATATATACATATATATATATATATATATGCCATAATATTACTACTACATACATATGCATATATAACTACTGTAGATAAAAAATATAAATAAAATTTAAAAAAAATAATGGAAATAACATTGTAAAAAGAATAATTATAAAAAAAATTTACCTAATTATTAAAATGTAATTTTTTTAACAATTAACTGAAAATTGAATAAACCCTATATATATATATATATATATATATATATATAGGTCATAATATTAACATATACATATGCATATATAACTACACTGTAGATTTTTTATTTTTAAAATAATGGAAATAACAACGAATAATAATAAAAGCTTATTATTAAAAATGTAATTGTTAAACAATTAAAAGAAAATTGAATAAAGTTTAATATGCTTTACATATTATTTTTGTATATATTTATATATATATATATATATATATATATATATATATATATACATGCATATATGCCATAATATTACTATATACATATGCAGATATAACTATACTTTAGATTTTTTATTTTAAAAAATAATGGAAATACTCACTGTTAACCATTCAAGAGGGTCCTGCAATCCATCGTATTCTCTAAAGCGAAAAATCATGCGTCGCGACGTCAAATTAAAACGGCTAATTAAATGTTCATATTCTCTCTCCAAAATAATATTATCGAGATATTGGGATTCCATCACTAAACTGTAATCTTCAAGCACAAGTTCAAAACTAAAAGAAATTTCGATCTCTTGCCTTCGAGTTTTATTAGTTTTCAGGTAGGTACCCCCACTAAACGCAGCATATACCACCACCCCTATAGAATTTTGTTTTGTATTTAAGTAAAAAAAAGTTTTGAAAATCGTTTCAAAACATTTTTTCGAACGCTAATAATACAAATAATAATAATGGATGTTGCTTACCAAACTGTGAGTGCTAAGTCTAGTAAATTTGGTGTGGTGATTGATGGAGTGCATAATCCAAAAACATTAAAAAGTCTGGCTAGACAGGTGCTCAACGAGAAATGCAGTGTGGAGGACATTGCAAAAGTGGCGCTACCAAGGACTCTAGTGCAGGATATATTCCGGAACAGAATGCTGGACTTCATACTAGGCTTCCCCTTGGTAGCTACTTTTTTACTTCGGGACCTGTTTGGCCCGATTACGGCCCCGTGGCGTGAGGAAGCGGTGAAGTGTTTCTGGGGCTATAGAGACAATAGGGTAGAAATTCACCGCATAATTGTTTCAATTTTGCCCAACGCCGTGGATTTTTGCGTGCATAATAAATATTACGATACCTCGATTGGAAGAATCTGCGATTTGTGTATGCGAAAGGACTGCATACGCAAATTTGCAGATTTTCGAATAAATGAGTATGTGACACAGCATACTTCCAAAGACGTTGAGGATCTAGTCGATATTTTTTTGCACAACAACAGCTGGTGCGTATCCTGCACGAGGCGCCTATTATTTGTTTTGGTTCCCACCAATGATTGTCATATGACAAAAATAGTGGACGGGGACCTTACAGATTGCCTGGAGGATGGCATGTCTATATCTACGCTCTCCCTATATAGCTCAGAAGACAGCACAGACGAGGATGGTATGTCTATATCTACGGCCTCCCTAGATAGCTCTGGAGATACCACCGACGACGATATGGTAGTCGATGAATAGGATATATTTTAGTTTTTAATAATTTTTATTGTATTTTTTAAATTTTAAGTGAAATTTGTATTAGTGTATTATTTTGTGTTTTTAGTTTTTAATTTTATACATATATTTTAGGTAAAATTTTTGTAAAATTTATATTATTATATTAATTTTATTTTTCTTAAATTATATACGTATATTTTAGATAGAATTTTGTAAATTTATATTATTATTATATTAATTTTATTTTTAAATATATGTTTATTTTAGGTTTAATTATATTTTTCTAGGTTAAATTATTTATTTAAGTAAATTTTGTATATACTAAATTATTATTAAAATAATTTTTTTAAATGTTTTTTGTTTATTTGTAATAAATTTATTTAAAAATTTACTTACTTTTTTTATCTTATACACCTAACTATCATAGAAGCTACATAAAATAATGAGGTGAGTTTTTAAAAGGATATAATTAAACAAGTTTTTTTCAAACTTAATTACTTTATTATTTTTATTATTATTTTTATTATTATTTTTATTATTATTTTTATTATAATTTATTATTATAATTTTTATATAATTACATTTTAAATTATTTACATTATTAACAGATACCTAATTAAATATAAAATGTATTACCTACTACCTATTACCTAATTAAATATAAAATCTATTACTATCTAAAGTTTCATTTTAACTTACGTCCTATATTATTATATATAAAATAATCATTTTTTAATATAATTTTATTATAATTTTATATAAATACATTTTTAAATTATTTACATTATTAACAGTTACCTAATTAAATATAAAATCTATTACTATCTAAAGTTTCACTTAACTTAAGGCCTATATTATTATATATAAAATAATCGAATTTATACACTAATTCAAGCCAAATCATATGGTTACTATATCGTGGTTTAGCTTCTATAAAAGATTTGAACATGTTTGTGTTGTAAAAATGTCTATCATCTCGACAGATCTCAACGATTATATCACCTAAGATTGAATTAAACGTTTCCGCTAAACGTAATTCTTCATATTCTTCGACAATATTACCGTGAAAGGATTTTAACTTCAATAGATTGTCCAATGTTGATTTTTGGAGAATATCATAATTTCCAGATGATTTCCCTGTTATTTTTATATTATCGGCTGGCATCGTTTTTATCACGTAATTGGAAACCTCGAACTCATCTCCATTATTGGTATTTTGAAAAACCCTGGGTAAAATACCTAAAAACTCCTTAAATTCGCTGTTGCTGAAACTAAGGGCGTTGTATTCCTTGCCAGTTTTACATAGTTTTACACATATAGAAAAATTACTATAAGGATTCACCCCAACTATGTAATAACGACTGTTTGATAACGTTAATGGGATTCGGACCTCTTTTAACAGGTTATTTTTCTCATAATCCAATGCATGTATTGTTTGTTTAGACTTTGATGTATTTTTCGTATAGTCACACATTTTATGCAGATATAGTTGTTTCTGTATCCTAAATATTCTGAAATAAAATAAATAATATATAATATAATATAATTATAAATATAAATATATATATAAAAATAAAGTAATAAAAAATATATGAGTTAATTTATTTATATATATATATATATATATATTTATATATGTAAATATGACTACAAAATATTTAAAAATTATTTAACAAGTATGTAATGTACTTACTTTTAACAATCAATTTCGATGTACTCTTGAAATATATAAACTTTTGTATATGTTGACCTTCTAAATTTTTTAAAACGACTGATGATTTGGTGTTCCAAGTTTTCTTTTTTATATGAAAACTATGAGACGCGTACTAACTTGTTAGGCATCTATGCATTCAGTCTACATAATATGTAGTACATTTAATTTAAATCGTTTGAAAAATTAATTATCAAAAATTTATTATTATCCCACGGTTTTTTTTTTTAAACCTATTTTATTATTCTCGTGTACCTGTACTTTAGTCAAATTACCTATTGGTATACAAAAATATATAAATTTTATCTTTATTGCTTTTTACACCATTATTCTTTGCCGACGTATTTTATTATCCCTACAAAATTTCGAAAATCAATTACGTTATATAGTTTAATTTATTCTGCTTTTACTTTTTTCCAACAAAACGTGACAATAAAATTTAAAACTTTTTGCTTATATTCCCAAGTGAATAGGTACCTGTGCTTTTTGCCTAAATATTAATCAACACGTAATTTCCAAGAAAACGTGAAATTTAAAACATTTTGCTTATATTTTATTCCCATAGTATTACAAGTGAATAGGTACCTGTGCTTTTTTGCCTAAATATTAAGTTTAGCACGTAATTTCTTAAAACTCCATCGATTAAAATACTTCTTAGAATTCATTTACGCATATTTTCCTTTTACACTAGTACACATTGAATTATGCTACGTGCGAGCCCCGAAGACATTAGAGATTATAAGACAGCATATTTTTGCCCCAATTTAAATCCAACACCTTTCGAGATTATAAATTTGTAATAGTATTGCACTTCTGTATGTATGTATTTTAACAATTGGCCACCTGCGTATTTATTTTTATAAAATTAACAATAGTAGAGATTGAATTATGATACGTGCGAGCCCCGAACACATTAGAGATTATAAAACCTTTGTTACTTCGCGCATACATTGTTTACTAAGGCACCGCCACACATTGTTCACTAATCCCCCATTGTTTACTAAGGCACCACACATTGTTCACTAATCCCCATTGTTCGGGACACGTACATACGTGACCCAAACAATAGCGCATAGTACATACGTGACCAAAACAATAGCGCATAAAGTGTCATAGGTTCTGCTATCCTGGCAACTCATTTATTAAAAAATTAAGGTAGGGTTCCTCTGTGAGGCGATTCTCCATGATAAAAGGGCCAATTAAATACCCCGCAATCATAGCACACCACACATTTACTGAAAACCTGTGCTGAAAATTGGTTTCGACTATAGCATGGGGATTTTCGTCAGACCATACGTGAGAGTTGTGCGTATTATTAATGCCTTCACGGGTAAATGTTGCTTCATCAGTTAAAAGTATACGCGATACAACTCTACGATTGTTAGTTACCCACCGACAAAATTCCACACGTTTAGCATAATCTTCCGGGTGTAGCCGAACCAGCATTTACAATCACTCTACCTATACTTCTACTGATTATCTAACTCAAGCTATTAACTTTTCTTTAACTGAACTAAAATAATTAAAATTAAAATTTATTAAATAAATCGTAAATTTCACTCATTTTGGTTTTTCTTAACTACGTATAAATGATTTTAGGTACCTAAAATTATTTATATATTCGGAGGGGACTTTAAGCCCGCGGTCCGTTCCTACCCCTAATCCGCACAAGCCATTTAGTTGGCGTATGGGACTTCTTAAGAAGTAAGGGTGGAACTAAAAGGACACTTTTTTTGTATTTATATATTGTCGCTGCAACTGCAAGAACCTCTATACAAATTTTAACAAATTTTACAGGAGAAGAAAAAACAGGGCCGTTCCTGGCGTGCGTGCAGGCGCAACAATTTGGGGGCGCAAAATCTAAGGGTCAATCAGTACTTTGTAACAACGTACATATATGTACGTTGTTACAAAGCACTGATTGACCCTTGTATGTATACATAAAGGTTACCGCCTTTATTTGCGTCGCGACGCATTAAAGCCTCATGCCGCTCTTTTTTCGGCCGAAAGCGCCTTTTAAAGCTCTAATATTCGCGGCTTAATTTTTTTGATATGAGTATTAAAATTAAAGGAGAGAAATTGTCATAATATTTTAGTATTTGTTTAATAGTTGCAGTTGACGGTAGCAAAGTTTAACAGTAGTCTACACAGTGCATGACTTTGTAACGAGCTTACGTCACTAAAAACCAGTCGTAGTTATTATATTTTTATATAGTTTTTTTTTATTCTTTAGGGTATTTTTATTACTAAATATTTGTTGGTAATTTTGTTTTGGTAATTACTTAATTCAATACATATTTTTTTCTACTCCCACCTTTAAAACGCCCTTTAT